TGACGTTAATCAGTTTAGACGATATTCCGTATGGCTTCAGGATCGTAACAAACTCATAAAAGGATTTACCGAGTATGACGGTAGTTATTACATGGTTGCCAATAACCTCTTTTACCATTGTTACTCTCGATATGGATTCTGCTCCGCATGTGGAATACTCCGATGCAGTCCCGTGTGGTGCATTTGCGGGCATAAACAATTATCCAATGGATGGACTAGCAACAATAGGCAACTCGACGAGTTTATTAAGAAATCTCAAGTACAAACAAATTCAGCAAACGATGCCTATTTGGAATGGATTCCACGTGATTGTATTGAAGATGAGGAAGATGGCGTATCATTATCTGGACTACCTACTATTGAATATATTAAGTTGACTCCGCTTGAGATAACAGACGAGACAGATGATTCATATTATGACAAGGTGATTATCAAGTACAAATATAGTATGTTTGTCTGTTGTTAAATAAATGTTGACTTATATATAATTCCCACTAGTTGTGTGATGAGCATTCAGATATTCTTACCACGAATGTTTGGGTTACCATTGGATTCACATATAGAGGGGGAGAGTATTGTCTCATAAAACAGCGTAATGCTATTGGTTTATGTCTGGCGTGTGCAAGGCTATTAGATCCCAAGATAAATACATTTTGCTACTCATGTAAAGCGCCAGCACCTCTTGATTGGACTACTGGCAACAAATCTTTGGATTCATTCATTATGGAATCATGGAGTAATACAAGGAATAAACATGATGCGTATATACAATGGATAGAATACTCTCTGTTAACAAATATACAAGAGATGACATCATTACGCCATGGATGCACGCATATAGCAGAATGGACAACAAATGAATCGACGAGAGTGATACTCAAAAAGATAGTTGGCGAGGGGGATGATCAGTTATTTGATTTTCATCAGGTAAATTATTTCACGTGTAAAATGCAAATGGTATTTACTAACGTGTGTATCGCGTGTTTAACGACTGTATTTGTTTACTAAGCAGCTAACTAAGGAATATCCCGAAATGTTAACACCCGAGAATATTTGGATAATTGGGATTACTCAGAAGCCATCTACTCAAACAGCTGTAGCGGTCCACGTAGTTGTGCCAATAAAGGACCCACCAAATCAGGTGCCATCTACTCGGGAATATTATTTACTTTTCTACCATGAAATACGTCCGATATTGGATAGGTTTATACAACTTAACAAAGATGTTCAGTATATGCAGTATGCTGACTTTTATGCACTAAAAGTGATTGGATGTGGTGGTTATGGAACAGTCTATACTGCCAAATATAAAAATTATTCAAAAGTACAGCATATGGCAGAAACTGTTGTACTCAAACGGTTTAAGAGTTTTGATGAATCGCCGGAATTATTTATTTCCGAGGTAAGCAATAATTGGTAGTATTAATTAAAGTGATGTTTAATTTAACTCTGTATTTATTTTTATTTAATAGTTCATAAATCATGCCAAGTGTGCAAACAGTGATTGTTCTTATTTCCTTCAAATTTATGGAGTTACACAAGACCCAGGAACAAAAGAGTACATGATTGTTATGGAATATGCTAACAATGGTAGTCTTTTGTCTTATTTGGATCAAAATATTAACGAATTGACGTGGATGGATAAATTACGGCGGTTGAGAAGCATCGCAAATTATCTGTATAATATTCATAACGTGGGTTTGGTGCATTGTGATCTTCATGGCGGAAACGTAGTTTTGCATGTTGATGATTATGGGCCAGACTCATTCATATGCGATCTTGGTCTTTCTCAATCGGTGAATTCACGTCAACAAAATTCATCCATTCGAGGCGTTTTACCTTTTATTGCACCAGAAGTCTTTCATACTAGCAAATTTACACAGAAATCAGATATATATTCTTTTGGTATTATTATGTATTTGATTGCTACTGGTGAACCACCTTTTAGATATAGAGAATTTGATAGAGATTTAGTATGCAACATTATGGGCGGACTACGACCATCGATGCCTGATTCCACACCAGAGGAATACAAGAAACTTGCCGAGCGGTGTTGTGATGCTGATCCTGATAAGCGTCCAGATGCAGAGACACTTCATAATGGTATTTACATGCTTAATTATGAAGGCACTTCTAACAGCAACGCGTGGAATACCATCTATTACAATGATGTAGAACCGTTATCACGTCTTGAGAAGGAGAATAAATATTCTAGTAAGCGCCTACCTACTGGAGATTTTCCTAAACCAAGAAACAGTTGCAATTCAGTTGCAGGTAACTGTTCACATGTTGATATTGAAAATAACATCATTTTGCTATATATACTAACGTCGTCGTCTATTATATCCTATCAATTAGTGACTCAAAATTTTGAACCATGACTGGTATGTCAAAGGCAAGTCGAACAAAGTTTCGATGTAAAATAGAATTGATACTGATTTTATGGTAGTAATTCTGTACTAGCGAGCTTAAACATAAATAGTATGTTTGCAATGGGAAATGTATTGTTCCTCTAATACTGTACAATAGTTAAAAAACCTGTCCGACTTACCCATACAATAAACAATAAGTTTCGAGTAACGGCAATTCAATTTTTTCGTCAAGGTTAGGGTTAGGATGATGAAAACATAAACTTTTCGTCGTCACATAAGTATTTTTGTCCCAACCCCCAGCATTTGTGTAATGTAGACATTTCCCTACTTCTAATTATTTCCGAACGAAATATTCCTAAAATCGTTAATCTACCCTTGTACCAAGCTACGGATACCCGCTAAAGCATGATAAAGTGGTGACAGAGTTATTATATATATGACGCAGTAGGCATGTTATAAGTCACGTTTGCATGAACATATTTTGATTATCACGTTGAAAGATCAGAATCGTGGTCGTGCAAAAAAAAAACAGTAAAGGAAATTCCTCAAATTTTTCGTATCCTTTCTGAAATAACAATTTCCTGTTTTTGATACCCTACATCGAGAAGAAGGATTCTTTTAAGTTCATCAATATTACGTCTTAAATTTGATATTTCAGCTTTAATCTCATAAATCTCAATATCACGCTTAATATTTCAACATCAGTATCTCTCCTACCCTTCTCTAATTTTTTGATTCTGTTCTCAAGCCCGGATGTTATAATTAATAATATTTTGTACAAGATGGAAATTATTCAATGTTATGTGACAACTGCAAAGACCCACTTTATTAATCACAGATAAAAAAAATACAATTTACAAGACTGTTTTCATGTGTTATCCATTGTAATAGGTTTTACAAAGTTAGTCACATTTTTCGAAATGTTAAAAAAAATACCAAACCGTGCTGAAAAGCGATCAGATCATAAACTCGCCACTTTAACTTTAGCAACCCAGACGATGTTTAGGCCAAGAGCGTAGTTTTTACATATATATATATGAGAGTATGCGTTGCTTAACCTTTCCGATATTAAAAAATAAAATTTATCGAATTAATTATTAATATTAAAGTATGGATAACATCAGTAACAGTAGACAAAGAAAGCAAGGAAAAAATCAGTCACTTGAAGATAAAATAAACATTATTAAGAGAAAAAAAACCGTGTAAAGTATATACAAAATATAATTCGATGCTTAGATGAGTCTGTGGAAAGGCTAAACGCGAGGCGCCCGAACTTTATTAACCAAATTTACTTTATTCATATTTCACCTCATTTATATCCCTAAAAATTCTCCGTCCCAAAATGGGGATATAAACGAGTAGCTTCCCTGTCGAGCAGGTATTTAAGTGGAGAAATCATCATCAGTGTTAAGTAGTAGGTTTGGCTGTATTTCCCATTGGTTCTTGAAGTTGTCGCTTTCTTGTTCCACTGCTTTAATGGCTTCAGAATCAGTTTGAGTCGACTTTGTTCAGCAGGAGTATAGTGGTATAAAGTATGGAGGATGAGCTTTTGGTGAATACAACTTTATATTAATATGGTGTAACATAAACGATTATAAATACGATTTGAGTTAACATGAGAATCATAGTAAATTATTCCTCAAGTGGAGCATCATGCAAAAATTCTTTTCGAAATCGTGCTAAGAATGTTGATAATGACGCTCGAATACATCAGAATAAATATTAAAAAGTTGGTTATGACAAGACGTTAAAATATTTATTAAAGTATCAAAAAACCGGTAAAAAGTTTAAAGCAGATTTCCGCTAAATCGGAAAATCAAGCTGCTAAAATTTTGGTAGATCGAAAACGATTTCAAAGCGTTGACAAAAATGCAATATCTATTACTTATGACGTCATTTATTTAAAACCCCACCCCTTATGATATCGGTCCCGTGTGGTTGATATTAGAGAGGGTCGACTGTACATGGAAACTTATTGAAAGAAATAAAAACGTGTCAGCAAAAAAATTTTTTTAAGACAATGAATGTCTGTCCTAATTGAATCTTCCAAGACTTTACTATCCCTATTTATTGGGTGAATGGTAGCCGATTTCATACAAAAGTAATGCATTTGTACATTCGCTTGTGGTGATATCATTGAGAGTCAACATCGCCCATAATGTGCTCAGCAAGGAAATATCCAACTTTTATTAACCATTGTATTTCCCTCTCCAAACGATCTTAAAAATTTTTTTATTGATAGCCCGATGATCACCTGCGCCCAATCCAAAAGGAGGTCACCATAATAGGACAAGGAACTCCGAATATTGCGTACGCAAACTACGCAATCCTTCAGAATATAAAAAATACATATATGAATTTGTACTTGTAATTATTACATTCCCACTTTGAGCTAATAACCTATTATTTCATGCTTTTACTTTATCAACATACTCTGTAATAATCCCATACCCACTTTCTCAAAAAACCAAAGCAAAGGCGTGAAGACTAAAATACATAGCCATGCTATAATTCAATATATCTTTCCGAATAATTGGCTCATCCATAACATGACTCGAGCAAACTAGTAATTATGACGTAATATACTTTTTATATCTACTGCTTGTAATAGTGTAATCCCTTTTTTGTCTACTTCCTAACATTCCTTCGCCACGTTTGTGTGACACTGTACAACCATTCCCATGCATCCTCTTTCTTGATTTTCTTGCTCTCGTGTATATCCATCTTGCCTCCATACACATTGTCCCAGAATGCTTTCACCAATTCCTTTCCACGGATTCCGATTGCAAATAATACTACGTTCCAATAGGCTGACCATAGATGTCCTTTTTTGATGGCTATTGGCAAGTCGCCGTGCCTTGAAGCTGAAATCTCTGCACGGACAAGATCCCGATCTGTAAGTAATATGGCATGGAGCAAATCGTACTCGTGTATTCGTACATGGTCGAAAAACATTTTTCGATCATCCTCCGGCGGTATGCCATATAAGCTGGCTACATTATTCGCAAGCCCGAGAAACGTTAAAACGCTTGTTGGGTTATTAAACAGTGCACTGATGGCAGACACACCAAGGTGCAACTGGGAAAAGAATGACAAAGCTACGGAAACCTGCAACAGCTTGACATAGAAAGCTAACAGTCCCAATGTGATCAAGACAGGGCGACAAATCAGGGTATAAACTATTTTATATGCTCGACGAAACCGAGACTGCCACTCTGGTTTATGAAAGTTAAATTTAACAATGTTTGTGAATGTTTCCAAGAATGGGGGGTCATGAAATTCGGTCACAAATCTTGCCGGATTTAGAAGATGTATAAATAGGAAAAGAGAAAACGTTGCTGTCTTTTGTATTGCGATTACTAAATTTTCGACCGCCAATCCTTTGTTTAGAAAACTGTGCGCACTGAAAAATATGACAACCTGTGCTAGTCCGACAAGTAAATATATGCATAAGAAAGCAAACTCGACAAATGCTCCTATTCCTGTGGCAGATCGGATATAGTCTTCGCGCGTTTTGGGCATTTGTATAGTAATGTCTTTTTCTGTGCTGTTTAATCCAATCGGACTAGGAACGAAGTTTATAGTGTTTACAAATTGTCTTGTAATGAACACTACGTTTAGTGTTAATTGAGCCATTAATAAAACTAATTGTAGTTTAATGTCCATGCGATTCAGGGTAAGTGTAACCAAGTCCTGTGCCATTGCTTGGAGATACTTAACGCTGTCGGGCAATGGCGGGTGAAACATGCTCCACGGAATAGGTGTATGCCTGAATTTTTCCGTTAAATTCTTGTTTAGCTCTAAAAACTCTCCTCGCGCACGCCAATATTCTATTTGACTCTGTGAATCCTCAAGATTTTTGCATCTCGTGAGCCATGTGTTATAGGAAGTCCAAAAGGGTGTTAATGTGCGATGGCATGAGGGATCGATGGAATCATCTCGAGAGGCGTTTTTGTAAATGGTCTCGAGCCTTGCATTGATTTGTTCTGGCGGAATGTCTTTTGCAAGTGGAGGTATAGCGTGACGCACTCGACTGTTGAAGCGAGCTAGTGGCGCTAAAACCCAGGGAAGGCGGATGTTATGACGCTTGCACCAGGACGAAAACATTTATATTCTTTAATAATGCGGTGTTTGATTATTTGTAGCTTCTTGTCTATCCCCATTATATATATATGATTGTTTCCCGCAGCTATTGATTTCTCGTTTTCAACCGCGAATACAATATAGCCAGAGCGTATGACGTATATCAGGAATCGGACAAAGAACCATTTATCGCATAAGTTGAATGGGACGATTTAAGCGAAATGCATTAATAATAATAATACTTTCCCAAAAGGTAATACATTCATGGATTTTTAAAACCATGTCTGCGGTCATACTTCCTCATGTGGTAGTATCATGTGAGCCGCTGTAATGCAATGAAATTATACTTACTCCCTTACAATAAACAGTTGAATACTTGCTACGGCAGGGTATGGCACAGCATGATTAATATTAATTACCACCGCGCCTATCCAAGTGTTAAGTATAAATTCGACTAAAAAATAGCATTGAAGTAAAGATTGCTCTCTCATGCCGTAGTATTGAAGAGCAAGCCTTTGATGGTAAAATTGTCTTTGTATGATGAATGTATACAATAAACCGGAATAACATTAGTGCAGATATGACGTATGTGTATACGAAGGTGGATACGGGGTAAAATGAGTTTGTGTATAAGTCTAAGTCATCTTAGTCAGCTGTGATAAATCGAGGGCCTCGCAAGGCATAAAATTATAGGCGATGATTTTGTTTGCAGTTTTCTTGTGAGGATAGAGTTATGCAAAGCAGGATACTTCTACGATTATGCTTTCGACTGCTAAAATTTAAGCAGGGAGTAGTGATGATACTGCGAATCTAAGAATCGCCAATAAATGACAAACTGGGTATGTTTGATTACGCAACTACATACTAATACGTTTAAGTTAGTCCGAGTACCTCCCTTAGGGGGATAGGGTCACGAACTCGTGTAACAAAAATCACATAATCTTGCGAAGCTTATGTAAGTACTGTGCGTTTTTTCTATATATATTTTTTAGTTTCTTTTATAAACAGTCACATGTATATAGAAACATTTAGAACAACCATGTATTAGTAAAAATACAGTGTTACCGCAATTTTTTTGTAAGTTGTTTATTTGGTGTGCAATATGAATAAATTACATTATTTTGAAATAGGATAAAATTCGAAGAATACAAGTTGCCATAGTCAATTTATTTAAATACGTACCTTACAAACTATGGCCAATAATTGTGACCCGTGCCTAGTTAAAATTTATGGGTATAAGCAAGAAAACATGGTTCGTCAAAATTTAACTAATGATGGTTGAGGAGTGAGTAATTTGAGCAGAACAGACTAAAAACGAGAATGTAAGAGGAGAGCGTATTTCAAATTGATTTTTCAATTATTATTGTGCTATTTGCTTATAGTTAATAGATAACGAATATTTTTGTAATCACGTTTTTTTGTGTAACACACTATCGTACAGTAAACGTCTTTATTATTATACCGATACGAGTGGCGCCGGCCATTTTTATCGGTATAACCAGTTTATCGGTATAAAGAGGTTTGACTGTACTTTCTAGCTAGATCTAATAGCAGTAACTCGGTGGTAAGTAGAAATATAAATGCAAAATATTAATGACGAAAAAGATCGCAGATAGAACATGTATGTATTTTAAAGGATCTCCGTTTAGTCAAAAACGTAACTCGTCTGGTTCTGATCGACTTGAAATCACTAAATTAGTTCGAGTCTTAAACAATGCCACATATTATCCTTTCCTCACAAGTAAACGCCAAGCAGTTATACTCGAATAAAGTGAATGGTCCACCAGATCGGTAAAACGTTCATGCGAACCGATGAATTTAAAGACTAGCCTGGAATCTAAAGAACGCGTATGTTACACTATTTTGAACGTGCCCACATGCAACATGTCGCATCCAAGTATTCGCAAACGACTTTTGAAAAATATGACAAAAGCTGTTTCTCGGTATGTTTACTGGTTATATTATTCGCTGGAATTCGAAACTCGTCATTACGCGATTGCGAATATCCCATAAAGGGGCTGTGCTTATTGGGGTTGGTTTTCCCGTATTCTCTTGTGTCGGTAGTCTTCATCAAGCTATGCGGTATCGACAATTGCTGCCGGTAGAATTTTTTTGAGCACACTTTGCTCATTCCTTCGCGGCTATCGTATTCGTTATGTCGTACAATTAAAGATAGTAACAAGGGGTTGCTTTGTGCATTCCATTCTTTCTCTGAACTAGTGAGCGTTAATAGCAAATTGTCATCAGAAACCTGCTTTGTAAATCGGATATAATAATAGAGTTGGTGTAATGTGAATTCAGTGTTGATGAAATGCTTACCGCGTACCGACCGCACCAGCGCAGCATTGTAAAGTAGTTACAGTATAACCGCGGGTTTTCAACAATTTGAAATTAATAAATGTCAATGCAAATTGACAGCAGAAATAATGCGGTAGATTTTCTGCTCTGAAACTATTTTTGAACATTTGCGTCTTGATATGTTAGGGTAAATACGTTAACCAACCCATACTCAGGGAAATTGTAATTTCATAACTTCAGTAATCAGAATCACAAATAATTAAAGTTATAAAGATATCTAATAAATGATAATGTACGCGATTTTCAACCTCCCTACAAGAAATTGTAAATGACGCGAATGATCTAAGGAAATGTCAACATAAAGTTGCAGACCAGAAACTACAGAATACAAACACCGATAAGTAGTGCTTTTGAATGCATACAGAACGGTTTTTATTATGGTAAATTATAAAGTGTCGATTCAGTTTACCATTTATGGACAGAAAAATATTCCCACCACTTTGTATTATTGCTGCAACTAGTTAAACCATTTAATAGTACACTGGAAAGGATGGCCGCATCAATCTTAGTATATCGAGCTTGTAAATGAGTATTTATCTATCGATTATATACAGTATCTTCTTCTATAAGATTTTGCATAATATTTGATGTATGAATTATTGATATCCTGTTGCGCTAGGTTGAGTATAATCCCATGCACCGGTTGCTGCAGCTGTCGGGGCCGTGGGTGTTGTCGGTGGTTGTGCGTAAGGATAAGCATATGGATAGCCCTACAAAACGCATATTATCGATCAGGTATTCACGTAAACAACAACACTTTCACATCTGAACAAGACACAACACCCTTCCTCCTCCTTTACAATACCTCAAAACCAACCTGGGCAGCAGCACCAGTTGCAGGGTACGGCCATTGTCCCTGATAGTAAGGTGCTTGTGCTGCTGCCGCTGTCTGTGCAGCATAAGGTGCCGCTCCAGCAGAAGCTCCTGCTGCCGCCGCCGCCACTGCCCCACCCTCTCCATCTACTCGCATCATCTTCATTGGTCGATCTATATCTTCATCTTCGGCTACTCTCTTCTTTCCATCTTGGGCTGCCCTAAGGGCAATTGGACTATTAAGATCCATTTCTACTTTGCTAATGGCTGATATAGACTGACTGCGTTCCGTTAAAAAGTCGAGATATCGTTGAGATATGTCCCGTATTGACTCTGGTGAAATTGTTGAATCACTACGAATTTTCTCAAAGACTTCTGTAATCCTTTGCTCTGCCGGGTCGTCTGTCGAAGAAAGAAGCAGCAAACATTACAAACCGTTCGTGCGTGTAAACTATGCTTGCAACTAATAAGGTCTGTGAGCAGAGTCCAAGTGACAATACTTACCATTTTGGGCCAGTTCAAAATTTAGATAGTTTAACCAGAAATATTTACTACCAAGAAATTTGGTGGTTCCTTCTTGATATATTGTTCTTGCTTCTTCAACGGACTGTTTAGACTATGAAATAATCGTAAAGTGAGTATTATGTAATAATGTCATCCATTAATACAAGTATATCTATTTCATACTCACTCGCCACAGCATATTTGCATACTGTACGCTGATGAATGCAGCTGATCTTTCATCAGACAGAATATCCCCTTCAAGTGACTGCTTGAGAATATCGAGTGCAATTGAAGAATCGCCTGGATTCTGCCTTCTTTCGAAATTAGCATTTTTATAGATTACTTCTGCACATCCCGGTACTACCATAAATACAGACTAGATTAATATAAAAAGAGAAGTAATAGCGGCAGTTTTAGGTATCAAGCTGTCATGACTTACGGTTTTCTGTTAATTCCTTGTATATTTCTCGCGCTGCTTCAATTCTATTTTGCTCTTCTTCGAAAAGAGCAAATGACAAACGAATACTTGGACGGCTGCATGAAATAAATATCAATGTAAGTAAACAAGTGTTATATCCGAGAATTATACAGTTGCCATCATGAGAGTGCTTGTAATCAATCGTACTTGACAGGGATGAATACGGTTATTGCTCTCGAAAATATATTTCGGGCTTCCTGGATTCTGTTTTTCGATAGCATCCATCGTGCATATCTCAACCAAAATTCATCGTATAGAGCCTGCAGATAATCGTGGTTAAGGGAGCAAGAAAGTTACTCGCGCGTTCTTTGTCTGGTTGCTCACCGTACATAACAGGCAGATATACTCACACATGCAACCAAGCAGCGCTCGTGCAATACTTGAATACGTGTATCATCACCTTCTGACTCTTCAAAGTCGAGGTACCTACGCCAGTTTGTCAGCTGTAATTCATCCATTGGTTTTACATGGAAGTACGGTCGTTTTATCTAATAAAGTAGACCGGGAAACATTAGTCTTGATCACGAGTAAGGGTCGTAACAATTGAATATAATTCATTGAATACTATTAGATGTTATCTTTACCTCGTGTTCGAATGGCCATCGCTTGTTTGTTTCTGCTTGTGTTTTCATGTATATTTCCACATTCATATTATAAATACGCATTCTAATATCTTGTTGAATCTGTTCTTCTGTCTAAGTACGAAATGTCGTCGTCAATGCGAAATCTCTTATATATTATTTTCAAATTCAGGCATTTATCTACAAATCTCTAATAGCTCACCTTTTCAGCCGGTGAGCTTTGTTCTTCTTCGGCTCCCTCTGTAGATTGTGCTGCTGGCGCTGCTTTCGCCTCTGCTTCTAATTGTTGATATTGTTCTGGGGACACGAGTTCGGTCAGTGGCCGCGTTTGTGATAATTGTGAGTACCTAAATGATTAGCAAAGCATGCAATGTAAAATCGCACGTTAGTATGTCATAGCAAATAGTGTAATACGTATGTCACCATGTTTGTATTATCGTACTTACTTGTCGAAAAACTTTGCATACTGATGCAATGGAATTCGAATAATACGCTCAAGGAGACTCAATACTCGATCGTGAGCATCTCTTGATTCTTCAAACTCAATATACTTATCCCAAAATATATGCGCAAGAAAGTCAAGTCCAACGCATGCAGCACCCCGTTCAAATAATCTAATCACAACAGACAACAATAACGTTCTACATGTTAATACTATAATCTCTCATTCAGAATATCAAAGAAAAGAATGATCTCTTTTCCAACAGTGAAAACTCATTGTCACAAACACAAATGCTATAACTTAGATTTATGATAGACCCGATATCCCAGATAAAGTGAATCAAAAGGGGAGAGAGAGAGTTGATAATATCGGATCACATTCTCCGTCGGATGCTGAAACTCTCATGTTAGTGTTGGGATGTTGGACCCAATTGATTACACAATTAAGTTTCCTGTATCTTGACTGTTCTTGGTGACACTTCTTCTGCTCTCTTGTGCAGCAGGAGAAGTGATCATATATATAAAGAGCAGCAACAGTAATAATACGATGACAAATACAACGCCAATGCTGAAGAGAAAAAAAAAACAGCAAACAGAAAACAAAACAGAAATAGCAACAGAACAAATATCACAGAATGTGACCAACTAAACCACCACTAGAAAAACTTCGCTGCGTTCCGTATCGACATTTATGATCTATCACTTCTCAAGTGTCTTTATACAATGTGTAAAGGAAAGGGTTTTGTAATTTTCGATATGCCAAGGCATGGTTATATATGGCCATGGCAATTGTAGTAAAATGCTTAAAGAGGAAAGAGAGGATAGAAATAGCAATATACCCAACTACAATCTCAACTTACCCTCTAATTTCTTCATCGCTCTCTGCATGTTCGATCTTGAACTGACAATACTGCGTCCATAAATCGACCGAATTAGATATTGCAGCCACGCCTCTTTCATAGATCTATATTATATGACGCTCATTAGACAAGAACCTCTTGTAAAAAAATGGAGATCAATTACAGTTTTATGGCGAATATATTCCAACCTTCTCTGCTCCAGCAGCGCTATCTATTGCCAACTCAATGTCGGCATATTTTCTCCAGTATCCGAAACATAGAGGAAATTTGGCCAAAAATCGGTCATAGACATTGCGTACGTTCTTGATATTCTCCTCTGAAGATTGTGCTGTTATGCCCCCATCTACTGATTCTGCTACACGAATCAGGTATTCCCAAGCTCCAAAGTCCTATAACATTGGAACAAAGTATGTATGAGACAATAAGCTTTAAGACTTGTAAAGCAGTTTTGGACTATGACTACAAACTTGGCGTTATACCCTATAAACTGCTATATATTGTATAACATGGTAAACTGCCCAAGCGCACACATCGTAATTACGAAAAGCTGGGGCTGATATACCGAGTCTTAATACAATGTATGCGGCTATTATATCCATTAATGACTTACGTCAGGATTGGCATTAACTAACTCTTGTGCCTGATCCCACTCGGATTGCTGAGGAGGGGGTGGAACGGACGCTGCCTCTGACTGAGAATTATCCTCTCCCTCAGCAGCTGGCGGCGGTTGCTCTGATAGGCCGTTCGTCTGCATTGCAGATGGATATTGAGAGTAATCCTGTTCAGTTGTGAGTGCCTCCTCGTAAGTAGTCATCGCGTGATCCAGAAGATCTGTCAGCTGTCTTCTCGCAATTAGACAAGGATTGGGTTTTTGGGTTTTAAATGATGACGATGGGGCGCAGTAATGTGTATCACAAATAATTTTGGAGAAAGGGCGCGTCGAAAAAAAGGCTGACGGTAAGTAGAATGGTCTAGTGAACAAGAATTTTCTATTGAATTGAATTCAATCTATGACATTAATGGACAGAACTGCAAACTAGATGTCAAAAAGTAATCGATGTAATGGTGAGGGAGAAATTCAAGTTGGAGTGGGCAGTATAAAGTAAGCATTATAAGACTTGTTGGTCCAAATAAGATATGGTTTGGCAAGTGAATTTGTCACAATTAATTACTTGAACGCGGTTTACTGGATAAATAAAATGTTGGCATTATGTGTTTAGATGACCAGTAATATCCAGATAATATAGCAATTTATACGTTCGTGCAGTATTGTAGAATTAACTTTGCAAAAGTCCAATTAGTCTAGAGCCTTAATTGCCTCCCAACAAATCGGCTGGATACTATATATTGTTTAGCGATTGCATTGGGGCTGTTGGTAATTTACTCCGTCGTTTTTTATTGAAATGCTTTATGAGAAGAATTAACAGTGTAAGTGTAAAATTGCTTTCATGAGCCAATGCAGATTCTTTGTTTTAATTAGATCGAACCCGCTAATACTAAGAAATGCTAAATGTAATAAATATCACAGCTTTGTTTCATTCAACCGAGACCTTCTTCAGCCGATCTCTGGCAATGCTGATCATGTCCCTTAATCCAATGGCCAATTCCTCTTCTTCATTCCCATTTCTTAATCTATTCTCGAAGACTGGAATAATCTCCCTCCTTGACCGTCCATTGACAAATACGACAAATCGAAAGCCATACTTGTTCTCATATTCCATATTTAACTCTTTTAGTCTTCCATTTACTTCGTCACCCTCAACAACTGTATTCTCTGTATTTGTTGCGCTCTGCCCCCCGCTCGCTCTGTCCATTCCTTTCTCTCCCATTCCTGCGCCATTATACCCTTGCTCTCGCAAAGAAAACGTAGATAACTTCTCCTTTTTCTCACCCAGCCTCGGATGAGCGTTTACTATCTCTTTCTTTTCTTCAATACTTAATTCGTTTCCAAGCACTATTGATTCCGCAATGTTGATCAGATCATCGTAGGAAGAGAATGGGCGCTTGGCATAGAGCTGCTGTGCAAGTGGAGGAGCAGGTTCAAAGAGGGTGTTTATTGATGCAATGAACTCGGAATATGTGAGTGAATTGAGAAGGGAGACGTGGGAAATTGTTGTAGAAGACATTTATAAATGATTACGAGAAATGACAACGGACAAAGATACATTAAACGTGCGTTGCACAACGTACAAGTATATGCTTTAATTGGTCGCGATTGTTTTGTAAATGATTGCCTCCATGATTTGATACACTGGTTAGATATGTTTTAGTAGAGAATTCAGGAAAGACTTTTTTTTTACCAGATACTTATAACAATCAGAAACCCATAATACTATAGAGGATCTCATATATGCCACCGCCACAAATGCAATTTAATGTGGGATCGCTTATTTGACTTCTGATATTCTGAGCTACAAGGCCAGTAGGAGGGGTTCTTTTTCTTTTAATTTTGGATGACATCTGGTGTTGCCACGAGATGGCCCATTCACGGTTCGTATTAATTATATCTGTTGTGATAAACTAGATTCTTAGTTTTTACATCTAAGTTGAGAGATACCACGTATTTCAGCGCGAGTTTGTGCATTTGTACTTATAATGTTGGTGGCTCATGTGATGGTGCAATAATCAAGATATCCTGGTGAGTGTCGTCGCAGAAAAAGTCATTGCTGATAAAAAGCTGATTTGAACGTCATTTATAGGATCGTTGGCAAGAGATGCGAGTCACCCCCGCGGGTAATGTGCCATGGCGAGTGCTTATATCACTCAATCTATAGTGTGAGGCATAGTGCACTCTAGCCGCGTTCAGAGTGTATAGGATGACGAAAGACGGTTGCGCCCTGAATCTGTGTAACCGCTGTTTCAACATCCTGCCGAACTACGTGTAATACTCCCTTACAAAAGTTCTTTGATACTTTCACAAGTCTCGCCAGAACATTACAACAGAAAGACAATTCGATTTAAAATTACACGAGGCGATCCGTAAAGCTCGCGATGAAATCCGTGAGGAAAGATATGCATGATACGTTCAAAGTAATTCGTAAACAAATTTGCGATGAAAGAAATTCGCGACGCGATAAAAGAAATGGCAACAGATAGAAAATGGAGGTTATGAGATTAGTTCGTTCTCTCGATCTTGAATAGTTATCGTCAAATTGTCCGCACTGAAGATCTGTATGTTTGGGTATATAAAGTAGCAAAACAAATAGTCTTGTGATTCTAAATCACAAGCGTCTAATTCACGAATTCGGTTTACTATTGGGTAGAGATATACAGTACAAATTTTCGATCCCAAGATATAGAAGAGAATTAATATGCTATGCGGAAGTATTACTGCTTTATTAAAAATCAAAAAAGGAGGTATAATCATTATATTTTAAGGTATTACCAAATAAGGATACCCACTCAGCATCAGGCTTTCTGGGCAATGGCATTATGACGAGTAATAGCGAAGCTCACTCAAATATTCGATTTTTCAAAATACATCATAATTATTATATAGTTTGTTATTTTAGATAGAGATTGACAAACCTGTTGAGTATTATCAACTTCCATACTGTTTACAAATCACAAGTTCTGCATAATTTAATGGTACTTACAATGTGTAAAGAAATTATTGGCAAAAATAAATTGCGTAGATATAACTTTCCCCAAAATAAGCCAATTTACGTAAACTTGTTTTTGTTTTGATTACGAAAACCTGCTCTTTATTTTTACTAAATGGCGTAATGTCTTTTAGAAGGCACTTTTAACAAAATAAATTTAAAAACTAGCGAGAAACTATTACATTTTTGAAACATAGTCCGCTCAACCAAAGATATTCACAAAGCCAATGCGGCCTATCTATAAAAGTTGGCAGTATAGATCACAAAGAGGGCCGAAAAATCACTCCCATTGTTGCTGCGGTACATCTGTCAGAATATACGCCGTGATTCCACAATTTAAATCCAATAGAAAATCAGAATGTCACAAAATCAGCGAGATTTGAGTTGTTTATGATAGAGGCTATTCCAGAAAACATATTAATTAATTTAGCTATCAAACGAGGTATTAATCGTGCTGATTGCTATGGTCAGTGATCAAATATGTAATCGCCAACTATTTCTTTAGACACTACTAGCGCTAGACATTTTTGCATGGTGAAAGTGAAAAGAGAAGTTTTTGATTTATTTTCTTGGGGATATCATAATATTACAAAGGGATATCTAAGCAGCCATTGGTTGCTGCAGGGGGGAGGGGGGAGTGAAAGCCTCTACTTTAGTGGCACAGTTGTGGCTTATTAGCAATGTGGCCGATACATCTTCACAATTTCATCTCTGCAGTGTTATATTTTGTTGAAGACAGCCTTTGTTTACATACCTGATCAGGATACCATCGTTTGAGATTTGGCCATTCTTCGAGTTCTAATATCCAAACGCCTTAATACTGAGTTAGTTTAAGATTAGCCATTTAATTGTCGACAGTCCAGGTTCTTATATTTTAAATATATATATTCTAGTTACAAGCATACAAAGATATCAATGGAATGTATTAAAAGCTATTTCTATCGTAATTTGACTGTTAATTTACTAAAATTACAGATTATTCTATTCAATTGGATAAGATTATTAAAACGACAGTTAACCCTTTGATGCTCATAAAATGGTAGAAGTTACGCTTAACCAATAAACATGTTGTTAAGTCCTCATCTTTAAGCGGAGGCACTTGCCATGAACAAATAGAGCAAAAGTTGCTTTACAGATTGTTTACGACGTGTTATCGTTATTATCAACCATACTAATAAGCTAATGTGGCATAGTTATAATTGAGGTTGAGTGATGGCGTCAAGTGTAACATTTTAATGTCTTAACTCTGGTCGTGAAATTAGGACTGAAGTGACTGGAATCACTCTAGATTAAATCTTTATATGTGCATGCTTGTAACGAGCCAAGAAACAAACTGTTCTATGAGCTGCAGATTAATTAGGCTTAGTATTAGGTTTGGGTAATTGATAACATGGTTGTGAAAAAACTGACAAATGAACGGAATGACAAACGCCATATAGAGTAAATGGGGTTCTAGTTCTTGTTACAAAAAAACTTTATTAAATAATACACGGTCAGACTCGATAAGTCGGCCCCTCGATAAGTCGGCCCCTCGATAAGTCGGCCCCTCGATAAGTCGGTTTTGGCTTAAGTCGGCCAAAATTTTTCGGATCTTTTTTTTTTACTATTTAAAAATTCGCTAACCTATGTAAATTCTCGATAAGTCGTTAAGTCGTCCAGCTGGATGTGTCTCGATAAGTCGGTTTCACGTGTCAATTTGTAAGTTTCTTCAATTTAATTGGTGGACCATGCTACACAAATGCTTATGTTCAAAAGACACCAAACTAAATACGCATTTAGATCATACGATTAAAGTCATACGATTAAAACACTAGCCATGTCATTAGATTATATGATTAAAGTAGTAAACATATCGTTAGAATCATACGATAGACATGCACTATACATGTCATTAGATCATACGATTAATGCAGTAAACATATCGCTAGAATCATACGATAGACATGCACTATTTGCTATATAAATAAAGGTAATTGATATCCCTCTGTCTTCGTTGATAAGAAGAAAACAAGTCGATTCTCTAAGACAAGCTAATCTGCAAGATTATTTTGCGATGTAATTATATTAGTGTATTAATAATAAATCTCGATAAGTCGGCCATTTGAGGCGGGATACTGTTGAACGACTTATCGAGACTGACTGTGTAACACGTTCCTCCGGAAAAAGCGATGCCATTGAACAAAAGTCTGTTCTCCCATAAAGGTTTTTTATTAGCAATATGAAATATTCAAAATGACAACACAATATATGAAGACTATTGCATGCAATAAATACTATTCCCAACATTAGTGATGTTACCTATCATTTAGATAATAGAACTTTCTCAAGTCGCTGTCTCTTTGCTTGTGGTTGTTCCTCAATACTTGCAATCTTATCTTGGAGAATTCCAAGGATTGCACGAACTAGAATTTGTACATCATTTGCCAGCCTATCATCATCAACATCATCGCTATTAACACTTAATGTCTGTATCTTCTTATTTGCTGCTGCAAGCTCATTAGCAGAACTTACAACTGTAAAGATCCATTGGTCGCCTGTAGAGACAATTCCATAAACATAATCATATCCAGCAAGATCGTCAAATTTTCGTTTTCTTAAATTGGTCTAATGTAAGATTTGTTATTATGAATACATTTTTAGTGTTAAAAATTTGTGTTGGACAATAATAAGAAATATAATTTACCTTGCAAGCGCTATGTGATTGAATGAAATTTTGACATATTCCTTGTTCTATATCTGTGATCTTTGCCTCAGTTATACAAATCATAGTATTCACATGTTTGATAACGAAATCCACACGTCCATCTCCATGCGATCCAACAATATTATATTGTTGATTTATCCGAACATCTTCTCCACATGATTTAACAATGTCACGTAAAACAGCATCGATATAATATGACCGTTCTATCTCATTCTTCCCTCCAATTGGACCTGATGTGTGTATAAGTAGCTTAAAAGTAAACAGTAAAATGATGCATATTAGTATTAAACAAACCTGTATAAAGAGATAACAAATATAGTGTACCTTCAGACGTGTCACTATAGCATCGGTTATTCTTTTTAGCTGTTCTTCAGATATATCAGCAGGTTTTGTAGCTTTTAATGAAGACATTAGTATGCATATACAACATATTAATATAACTTTCTCAATACCGTATCCTCTTGTGAATAACATCACGTAAATAATACTTACAAAATTCCATTTGGGGTAAGTCATCTATTGTAGTCAAGCCTTTTATATTTGTACCAAAAATACCCACAAGATCGATTATTCTCTTATATTTAGAGAAATTTGTTTGTGCTAAAATGTGAAAGCACGCAATATTAATTTCACACCAATAACTTATGTAAAAAAGTATGATATCAATTGCATACTTACGAGTTTCAACAGTAAATTTGATTCTTTTAAGCCCATTTAGCTTGGGAACGGTTTCAAGAAAGCTGTAGAATGTTTCTTTATCTTTTATTACATTGTTTGCAGGTGGTTTGATAGTAATTTCAGACTCGTCAACGTCTTCAAGCAAATCAAGAAATTCCGTCATGATTTTCCTTTGTAATAGCGTCCAGTCATCGATGGCGATTGAGAAAATTTTTTTGTTTTTCTTATATGTCGCTGTGCAATATAACCTGAACCGCTCTAGAAGAAACAACGGTTAGGTACTGTATTGATCAAATATTGAAGTTTATTCACGATTACTTTCAGTCAAAGTCGAAACTTACCAAGCCGCGCACATAGTTCCTTCATAATCTTTAAAATGCATGTTGCAATTCCAGTCGTCATCCCCAAATTTACGAGTTCTTCTCTCGAAAAAAGGGTAATAGCACGGGCATCGATTTCATTTTTTTCAAGTACATTCTCATCTTTGCTGCTTAAACCTGAACTTATATGTTTATTAAGATACTTTATGAATTGCTCTATGTTCCATTTCCAAACTTCTTCGAGAGAAGAAGGTTCTTCGATTGCAATATTGCTACTGGTCATTATTATTATGTTTTCAGAAGTTATGATAGTGCGTAATATGGAGTAGCGCTTTGAAAGAGAGGTGCACGCGCTATAAAGAGGAGTGGCAGGGGTATATATGATTTATTTAGAAATATGGTGTAGATCACGACATCATTGTAATACGAACGAATGGTCATAAGTATAAATGTGTACAGTCAACCCTCTTTATAGTCACCCTCTGTAAGCACATCATATAAAAACATCTTTATAAGCACACCATGTTTGAGACCCAATTACTATTGAACTTGTAGAAAAAACCTCTATATAGCCACAACTTCTTTATAAACACATTTCCAACTCTAACCAAGAGCATTATATTCGGCTCTTATGGACAGTGACCAAGTCTGAGACTCGTCGTTGTGAATTTTTTTTCCGTTCCGTGAAGATGTGGTTGCATAAATTGTTACTTTCACTCCTATTGATGCTAAGGTATGATACCTGATCGTTGAGTAACAAAGGATAAGATTCGTTGACAAATGAAATATTTTCATTCTAAAACTTAAATTCTTGTCCAACTCAATTTTAGAGGGATTGTTAAACAAAAAACCAAGAAACAAACTGTTCTATGAGCTGCAGATTAATTAGGCTTAGTATTAGGTTTGGGTAATTGATGACACAAATGAACGGAATGACAAACGCCATATAGTTCTAGCTCTTGTTACAAAAAAACTTTATTAACTAATAACACATTACTCCGGAAAAAGTGATGCCATTGAACAAAAGTTTGTTCTCCATAAAGGTTTTTATTAGCAATATGGAAATATTCAGAATGACAACGCGAAATATATGAAGACTATTGCATGCAATACTTATACTATTCCCAACATTAGTGATGTTACCTATCATTTAGTTGATAGAACCTCCTCAAGTCGCTGTCTCTTTGCTTGTGGTTGTTCCTCAATACTTGCAATCTTATCTTGGAGAATTCCAAGGATTGCACGAACTAGAATTTGTACATCATTTGCCAGCCTATCATCATCAACATCATCGCTATTAACACTTAATGTCTGTATCTTCTTATTTGCTGCTGCAAGCTCATTAGCAGAACTTACAACTGTAAAGATCCATTGGTCGCCTGTAGAGACAATTCCATAAACATAATCATATCCAGCAAGATCTTCCAATTTTCGTTTTCTATTTCTTAAATTGGTCTAACATAAGATTTGTTATTATGAATACATTTTAGTGTCAAAAATTTGTGTTGGCATAATAATAAGAAATATAATTTACCTTGCAAGTGCTATGTAATTGGATGAAATTTTGACATATTCCTTGTTCTATATCTGTGATCTTTGCCTCAGTTATACAAATCATAGTATTCACATGCTTGATAACGAAATCCACACGTGATCCAACAATATTATATTGTTGATATATCTGAACATCTTTTCCACATGATTTAACAATGTCACGTAAAACAGCATCAATATAATATGACCGTTCTATCTCATTCTTCCCTCCAATTGGACCTAATGTGTGTATAAGTAGCTTAAAAGTAAACAGTAAAATGATGCATATTAGTATTAAACAAACCTGTATAAAGAGATAACAAATATAATGTACCTTCAGACGTGTCACTATAGCATCGGTTATTCTTTTTAACTGTTCTTCAGATATATCAGCAGGTTTTGTAGCTTTTAATCAAGATATTAGTATGCATATACAATATATATAACTTTTTCAATACCGTATCCTCTTGTGAATAAACACCCCCCTTTGATCATACGAAAATAATCAGCAACCATCACGTAAATAATACTTACAAAATTCCATTTGGGGTAAGTCATCTATTGTAGTCAAGTCTTTTATATTTGCACCAAAAATATTCACAAGATCAGTTATTCTCTTATATTTAGGGAAATTTGTTTGTGCTAAAATGTGAAAGCACGCAATATTAATTTCACACCAATAACTTATGTAAAAAAGTATGATATCAATTGCATACTTACGAGTTTCAACAGTAAATTTGATGCTTTTAAGCCCATTTAGCTTGGGAACGGTTTCAAGAAAGCTGTAGAATGTTTTTTTATCTTTTATTACATTGTTTGCAGGTGGTTTGATAGCAATTTCAGACTCGTCAACGTCTTCAAGCAAATAAAGAAATTCCGTCCTGATTTTCCTTTGTAATAGCGTCCAGTCATTGTTGGCGATTGAGAAATTTCTTTTTTTTTTCTTATATGTCGCTGTGCAATCTAAGATGAACGGCTCTAGAAGAAACAACGGTTAGGTACTGTATTGTCAAATATTGAAGTTCATTCACGATTACTTTCAGTCAAAGTCGAAACTCACCAAGCCGCGCGCATAGTTTCTTCATAATCTTTAAAATGCGTGTTGCAATTCTAGTCGTCATCCCCAAATTTACGAGTTTTTTTCTCGAAAAATGGGTAACAGCGCGGCCATCGATTTCATTTTTTTCAAGTACATTCTCATCTTTGCTGCTTAAACCTGAACTTATATGTTTATTAAGATACTTTATGAATTGCTCTATGTTCCATTTCCAAACTTCTTCGAGAGAGGAAGGTTCTTCGATTGCAATATTGCTACTGGTCATTATTATTATGTTTTCAGAAGTTACTATCGCGAGGGACTTTTATGTTTTCAGAAGTTACAGCAAAGGGCGTTCTTTGTTGTGACAAATGTGCGTAATATGGTTGTTGTGCGCAAAAAAAATGTGCGGGCATGTGACTACTGAGGTTGTCGATACTAGTTTTGGAAGAGATCGCTCTACAGTCGAAGTAAATTGTACCACAACAACTATCGCGAGGAACTTTTATTCACAATTTGTACCACAATAACCAATTACATATAAATATAAGTACACCCACGTGACATTTAAAAAAAGGTCAGCCAATTAATCGCCGCAATAGTGACATTAGTTTACTTATCAGTACTAGTACCGTAAACTGCCATGAATAAGAGCCTACAGTGAATAAGGGCCCCCTCATATGAAAAAATGCTGCCGTGAATAAGGGCCGTAATGCTATGAAATAACCGCCCCCTTA